GGGGGGGGGGGCAGAAAGAGGCGGGACTTAAAGTTAATTATGAAAGTAAACAGTTGTCGTTTTTATAGTTTATAGCACAGAATTCATTGTTTGACGTCAAAGTTCACACAAACTCCAACCGTAGATCCACTGTGAGAATTAATGTTAATTTAAGGGAACTAATTGATCAGAGGACACACATGATACCAATAACTCTACACTAATGTTTTATTTCAGGTTGCAATGTTTCAGTCATATGATCCAAATGAAACGTTACTATTTTAAAACCATGAATTAAAAATATTAGTGCAACAGCTGCAGAGGTTCACTCGCTTTTTTAATATTTTTTAGGGAACAATCATCGAAAACGTTCTCCCGACTTTTTGTTTCTGTAAAAATCTAATAAGATCACAACAAACAAAAACAAAACTTCTAATAAAATCACTTCCTAAGATGAATTAAATAAAAAAATTACCACAAAAATGTACGTTTTCGTCATCGTTGACAAACTCAACCATTGCACAGCATTCAAACCCAAATGCTCTCCATGGGATAATAAATATACACATGCAGATATACAAGTCAGGTAATCTGGCAGCCTCAGTGATAAACCGCTCACAGAGACTCGCTGTGTGTTCCTGTAGAAGAGGAGCTGAGGTTTCAGGGAACTGCTCAGGGGGCCCCCGGCGGCTCAGGGGCCCCCGCCTGCTGGAGGTTCAGGGCATGTACAAGAAGAAAGAAAACAAAAACCTCAACCTTTCCAAAACACGATCCAGGAACTGAGGAGGAACTAAACCAGGAGCTAAAGGTTCCTTCGGTCGTGAGATTTACAGAAAATGAACCAAAGGTGGGTTAAACAGCCCGGTTAGAGACAGAATCTGAACGCGTGACGAGACAAACTGTGGCGATGTTTGAGTGTTGAGGTGGCCGGCCGTCACTCCGGCGCCGTTGGCACGAGCGGACCCTCATCGGTTAAAAGTTCCTGAGATCCTAAAAAGAGATTCCTGGAAAAGTTCCTGCAGTCAAAAATGGGCCGAACATCTCAAGGCGACCAGAAACCAGAGCGGCGTACTGACTGGTTTCTGCACACGTCCGTCCTTAAAGCGAACGAGCACAGAGCGGAAACTTTCTGCAGATGTTTCACCACCAAATGGTTCAATTCACTCAGAGGAAGATAATCATTGGTTTTAAAAATATCACTTACAGAACCTTTCAGGGAAACTACAATCTGGACTAGAATTTCCATATTAGACAAATCAGTTTGAGTGTCTTTGAACGCACCACAGTGCGATGTTTGCCATCAGATCCTGGTTCAAATTAGTTCATGAAGAGAACAAACCTTGAGAAAAAGGTATTTACATTAACTCTAGAGCTGAAACAATTAGTTGATTAATTGATGACAGAAAGTAATTGACAATTAATAATAATGAGTTCATAATGTTGACACTTATATGGAGCTAATAATTAAAACAGGGAACTTTCATGTTGTGTTGATACTGGCGCCCCCTGTGGACAATCCCATCTTCTCTCTGATGTCTTATTCATGTGGATTATATACAGTAGTATTAAACTGCTTACAGTGTGTTTATGCGTTGGATTATCAATCTGCAAGAAGTTTCAACTCTCTGCAAGTTCACTTTCATCGAACTAAAACCGAACTGAGGGACGTAAAGTCGACTCAATGTGTAGTTGAAGAGCTAAAACGTGCAAAAACCAGCAGTACGACCAAGATCAGACTCACTGCGTCTGACGTTCAAAACATAATCCATCAGTTTGTCGTCACAGGACAGAAACCTCTTCACATCACGCCATGAGAGAGCCGACACTCTTCTACTAAACACTCCTTACAGTGTTCGAATCCGACACCGCTTTCAGGCCTGATCATCCAAACCAGGGATCAATACTGGTGCATCCTCATGTGGCTTTGTACAATTCATAGTCTATTAAAACGGGACACCTGAGCCTTAAACTAACACAGGAACTAAAACAAAGAACAAAAACAAAAAAAAATAAAAAAATACAGCAGCATTTCACCGACAACATCCTTCTCTCCAAACCTCACACTGATTCTGAGCGACGGGGTGAGAGACGAGGAGCGAGCACGAGGTAAAAGAATCTGGAGGAATGACGTTAAAGGTTGTGACGGGAGGGTTTCAGTTTACAGATATGCACATTTATTTATATATAGTGTTCTTTTTTTTTGTCTTTCCAGGGTTTGAGGTAACCGAGGCTGCCGCGGACCCGCTGAGGAGTCGCTGCTAACAAAAAAAAAAAAAAGGGTGGAGACAAACACTCTTCAACAAACACTCAATAAATTAAGAGATAAAATGAACAAAAAAAAATCCATCAGTGCCGTTGTCGCTTCCTGTAACTCGCTCCGCTGGCGGGACAAAAAGTCGAGGACGTCAGCAGGAAAACAAAAATGTCCACATGGTGTGAAGATAATACAAGTTGAGACGGGTAGAAGAAGCCGTTGACCATTTGGAAAAAAATCCAAATATTTGTAGTTTTGGCATCTTTCTGTCCAACGTTAACACTTAAAAATCACAATTTCCTGTCATAATTTTCAAAATAAAACAGTCTGACAAAACAACTGTGGGGAATGACCTGTTTGCTTTGTATCCTGATTAAACTCCCTCCTGCTGAATGTGAATGAGGTGGTGGAACGACATCGATCCAGAACCAGACGGCAACAACAACAGTAGTATGTGGAGGACCACCGGGGGGGGTGGGGGGGCTGGGACTGTGGTTGAAACCTGCTACATCTGTTAAATTGCATTATTGCCGCCGCATCGGTGCAGAAGGACGCCGAGCGGCGGAAACACAGTGAGTGATGTGTTCAAATGCAGTTTTAAAAAAAAAACAAAGGAAAACGTTGGAGGGGTTTGGCGGTTAATGCGTAGGGTTGTTTGGCGGGTTATGTTCGGGACTGGTGACACACTGATGATCTGTCCGATTGGCAAGCGAGCGCGCTCAGTGTGTACAGGTGAGTTAATTAAACCATATTGCACAGGGCTGGAATGACTTCAAAATCAACTAATTCTACCAAACAATTAAAACCATTATATCTCAATGTCTCTACTAACGCAGATGGAAAATCCAATCTAGTACCGAGTTCTTTTCCTCTTTCTTATTTCTCCTCGAGCACTTCAGCAGCATTTTTTTTTTTTTTTT